CAGCAACTGCTGCTTATGCGTCAGTGCATCCATAAACAATCTAATAATGTATTAATTCATCACTAGAAGGATCTGATTAATTCTTCCACAACTGCATTTTCTCTTCAGGACATGTCTGAGAGGTGCTGTTATGTTTATTTTTGAGGTTGTAGCAGGTGTTGGTGTGAGTCAGTCTGCAGCATGTAGGGAGGTGTTTCTCCCATTCTTACTTCTCTGAATCTCTAAGCGCTCTTGGCGTTCCTTACTTGATCTCCTTATTGATGGCCTCCAGCTGTTCCTGCAGCATGATGGCCAGGGTCTGCACATCCGTCTGTCCGCTGGGTGACAGAAGCTCGGAGCCAAACCGAGCCTCCCCGTCGTCCTCATCGTCTGAGCATCCCACATCCATGCCTGGCTGGAACCCAGTCCCAATCAGAGTGTGATCCCAATCTGAGTACTGCACACACAAAGCAAGACAGGATGATTCACTACACAACGGACATCTGATCCCATTTGCAAATACCAATCATTCAACATCAAATTGAGTTTGTAGGTATATGAAATAACCCATGTGCAGAGTGCAGCATCCAAAAAAAAAGGTTCATCTTTTGTATACAGTCTATGCTAGGAACATCTAATTTTGTGTATCTCAAATCCCATTTAGCTCATTTCTTGAGCTCCAGTGAGTCAGTGCTACAGTGTATCACTGAGCTACACCTTTTTTTTGTAAAAAAAAAAAAAAAAAAGGATCCCAACTTTCACTTTTAAACCTTTGAAGAGTGATTTCTGAAGCACCTTTTAAAATATCTCACCTTGGTAGTGTCCTCATGAGCAGAGCTCCAGCGGGGCCAGTGACGATTGCCTGCGCCTCCGGCAGAGGCATTACCGAAGGGATCCAGGTGAGTGGTGGAACCTGTTGGGAGGGACCCGCCTCCGTGGGAATACCTCAACTCCAGAGCGCTGCCTGGCAGAGAGCGACTGGAAAAATAAAAGAAGAAATGAGACACGATAAGATGAAACGATTAACCCTACACACAGCAAACAAAGTGGGGTACTAAAGCATAACATGTGCCAACTCCAAAGCTGAGATACTGCAAAACGAACATATCAATGTGAAAAATTAAAATTGTCTCATAATAGAGGATTAAATTAAAAGAGCACGGAAAATGAAGATACAGCCCAACAGTAGCCAGTCGACGTACAGCTACAAGCTGTCCAAATGATGGTACCAACCTGGAATAAGAGCCCCCAGGCCTCGCTCTCAGCTGATCCAACTCCAGCTGAAGCCTTTCCAGCTCAGCGATCAGCTGATCCTGCAAATGAAAAAAAAATGGTAGAGAAAAGAGGAAAATCATGTCTGCTAGCTTAACCTGAGAATAAAACCTGGATGTATGGTCACCTTGTTTGCCAGCAGATCATCCTGGAGTTTCTTCATGTTGGACAGTTCCTCTGATAGTGCATTCTGGAGAAAAATGATAAGAAGTAATAAGAGTATGAGGGGAATTTCAGGAAAACTTTATTTGTTCTATCTGAGAAAATTAGTCTACTGTCTGCCACCAGTGTGTTTTTTTTTACAGGGACTCAATTTCTTGCCAGTGTTTCATTAGAATTACAGATGATCTACATATGCAGATTGAATCTACAATAACAGCAGTGCATATATAGAAATGTATGCATTAAAGCACAGATGCATGCAACTTCTTCATAACCATCTACCCATTCGGTTTCTTCTGCTTAGCCAATTCAGGGCTGCAGCTGCACTGCAGCCTATCTGAGCACTTATGAGGTGAGACATGGGGTACACCCTAGACAGGCCGCTAATTTTAAAGGGCTAACAAAAAGGAAAAAAACGACCACTCATACCTACAGTCGATTTAGAATCACCAGTTAACCTAATGTGCATTTTTTTTTAATTGTGGGAGGAAGCCAGAGTGCTTGGAGAGAAGTCTCCAGCTGGCTGTCGAATTTGAACCCCAGACATTTTACTGATTTGCTTTTTTAGCAAGAACTCAATGACCTGCATCACACAACCGCATGTGGGGAAAAGACATGCAGTTTTCGGTTAAACTGTGTCACTGGCTAACTTTGTCCGTGTTACCTGTTCACAATAAAGTATTATTTGTCACCTATAAATGTTACGTATCTCAAAATCCAGGAGTATAATTTAAAGTCTACATTTACAGCAAACTATCAATGCTACAAGTAACAGCTCAGCAAGCATCTTACCAAGTCACTGTGCTACCCTGCAAACGAAAAGCTCCACTTTTAAGCACATTCCTTTAAACCTAATCCCACCCGGAATTTATCATCAACAGGACTTTATACCTGCTGTAAAATCACAGCAGTTTACATTTAGAAAAGAAACCTTTTTGTTTGCTGATAGTGCAAATAAAGCACAGATTGTAGATAAGAGATTAACAAAAAAATCAACCACCAGGCATTTCTAATCTGGATGTTTATGTCTATTACATGTAGTAAATCTCTGTATTTATAAATTAATGAGTTCCAGGAATAATGAAAGTAAGACACAAAAAGAGCTAATGGATGTTTGAGGCACGGCTTGGGAATGTACTCAAGTTTAAACTGGTCACTTCCTGGAGGGCAGAGAATTGAGTGAAGGTACCCGAGGCCAGGAGTTAATTTGTGGGTTAAGATAATATTTACTGCAGTTAATGCAGTTCTGATTTAAAAAAATCTTTGGCTGGAAACTCTTTCTGTGGTCGGAGGCGGTCACCTTTTCTTCCAGGGCAGCCATCCTCTCCTTCAGATGGAGCTGCAGCCTCTCGTTGGACTCGGACAGCAGCTTGTCCACCGTGTCAGAGAGGCGCTTGTTGTGTTCGTCATTCATCCTCTCCCTCTGCCTCGCCTGAGGGGCAGGGTAAGCGAGATGAGCGAGAGGGAAAGATTTTTAAAAATCAGTGCAGAGGCTGAGAGAAGGGAGGGGGGGGAGGAGAATTAATAACAGGGAATCTGCTTGACAGAGGGAGAGAGAGAGAGAGAGAGAGAGACAACGACTTCAATCTGAATGTGCACGGTCAAATACAGGGTTTAGAAAATTAGTGCGCCTTTGTGCAGAGTAAATCCTGACAAAAGGAAAAGAGGGGGAGGATGAAAACAGAAAGATGGAAAAGCAAGCGTGACTCACTCGCTGTAGCTCCTGGTTCTTCTCCTCCAGTTGCGCCTCCATCTGTCGCAGTCGCTCCTCAAAGTTACCATGACGCTCCTCCGCCTGAGCGATTGGAGAGCAAGGTTAGAGCCTGAATCATGTTGCAACACTAATACAAATTAACACAAAAGGAACAGCTTGTTGACTTATTCCTTCAATTAGTTACATGCCTGTACAGATCACAGTGTAACAGGAAAGTTTGTTTTCTTGTTTCTTACAGGACATTAATCTTATCCTTCCACGCCAGCCTTCCTGCCCGAACATGTAGAAGCAGTAGTCGTTGAAGAGGTTTGACTAATAAGAGCAGAGCGACTTCTATGCAAATTTTTTGGTGTGAGGAAACCATTTTTTTACGGGAATGCAAGAGGTTAACATGCATGCAATTAAATCAGTCAGTCAGGAAGAATTTTTGCGGTGTACAGTCCTTGGCGTGCTGAGCACCCAAGGATGTAATAGCTGTGCTCACTCTGTGCCCTGAGCGGGCTTTCATCTCAGCTTGTCTGATTATGTATTGCTGCCACGGCTTGATAAAATATTTGCTATTCTTCTATCTTTTGACATCTTGTGGTTTTTTTCCCCCTACACTTTATGTGGGTGTGAATGCACACAAACATGCACTTACAAATGCTCCTGCTTGCACCTGCCTGCATGTACTCACGCATGCAACTGAGTCTCTGCATTGCTGCACATTCCAGCTCGCACCAAATTTGTGCACACACATCCACGTACTAAATTTTGTCTCTAGAAAATTTTGCTGTTTAAAAAAACACGATTGGGGATAAAAAGGCTCGCAAGACTTTGGCAAACCTGTCGGATCACTCCAAAATACACCAACAAGGGTTTACTGAGGCCGATTAGGACGTACACACCTTGTTGAGTGCAGCCACTCTCTGGGCGAGCTGGGCTTCGATCTCAGGCAGCGTCTCAGCTCTCTGCAGGGTTTGCTGCAGCTTCTGTTTGGCATCATCAAGACGCTCCTGAAGCTGCCGGTTCTTCTCTTCACTCTGCAGGAAAGCGGGATGTCAGGGAGTGCAGGTGGAACTCGGACCGCAATAGAAGATTGCCGAGGGCAAAAAGACATGTTTAAAGCCGTCGGGGGGGGGGAAGTAGAAAAGGCACTAATGATGCTCTTTCTGTGCCAATGCGAAACACAGCCAAGCTGCCAATCAGCAGCAGAGACATGAACACGCATGGAGATGAAAGGGACTGTTAACCTAACCTGTCTGTGGAGTGACTCCTTGCTGGCCAGCTCGTTTTCCAGCTTATCTTTTATGTCATGGAGAGAAGTCGCCTCCCTCTGGGCACTCAGGTACCTGCAAACCAGACCCCAACAGAGACGTGAGTGGACGGGATTTTGGAAGAAAGGTCATCTTCATGTCAACTATAAAGAAATAAATCTACCAAAAATAATAAATATCCAGGGTAAATGCACACAATCCATTTATAAAATATGAGACTAAATGTTTAAATTTGCTCTGTATTCCTTAAAAAAAATAAAGCTCATTTTATTAATAAAATTATTTATTTCATCTGTGTTTTTATTCATGTATTTTGTTTCTGGGAGGGAAAGTTTATATGACATACTTCATATGAGATTTGCATGCTTTTTATAAAAATGCCAATTTTAAATGGGAAAAAGATGAATTAGGGACAAAATGCAAGGAAATTTTAGGAAACAAATAGATGAATTCAAAAATTAACAAAACAAAAAATAAATGGGAACAAATAGGGGGAATGAATATGCAGATAATTAAATTCATGAATGGATCCCTACATTTATACCTAATATAGTTTAGCACATTCAATAGCTCTGAATGTTCTTTTTCCATTCTACTGTTTCTGTCTTTATAGATTTTCTTCATTGCGCTTTCCATCCTGCACTTTCTCCGTGTTGATGGACGTGGAGAGAAAACACAAACCTGCGCTCTAATGTGGTGATCCTCTCTTCCATGTCTTCCCTTTGACAGAGCGCCTGTGAAAATATGTAACCACTGTGAGAAACAAATAGAAAGGCGTAAGAGAGCAAATGGTAAATTTACAAGGAGGCGTTCTCAAAAAGAGAATTCACTCAGTGTGAACTGCTATTAGTTAAGGAATGATAATGACCGGTTGATAGTTATCGCTGACAGATGTCAGAAGCACCCTGTTATGTCCAACAGAAATGAGAGTGGGGGTTGGGTGGGAGGATACAGGCCGTGGCAAGAAATAAAAGTTTGCTGATTAAACTCGCTCGACTACCTCTAATTCCAAAACGCTCCACACGCCTTTCACTCAGCTGCCAGCGCACTGACTGATTAACCGGCCCACATCCATGCGAAAAATCGCCTGCAGCTCTACCAGTGACATCACGGCTACACGGTGATTTGCATGCAGCAGCAGTTGCTGCAGCCACGTAAACAAACAGCATAGTAACCACAACAAAAAAGTATGAACAACATAGCTCGGAGTGTCACACCTCCTTTAGATCCCTCTGTAGTTTCTGGTTGGTCTCCTCTGATCGGGCCAGCTCCCTCCTGGCAGACGTCAGCTGCTCCTCGATCTCGCCAACCTGACAGGAAATGAAGGATACAAGGCTAAACGGGCACACATCGTTTTCTGTCTGTTAGCATTCCAGATTTGCGATATTTTGCTTGTTTTGCTAAGAGCATTTGACCTTAGGAGCTCCTGAACCGAATACCTGTCTGCACATGAGGGCCAGTCGCTCTTTCAGTTGTCCCAGCTCTGACCTCTGTCTCTCTATCTCGCCCTCTCTCTGCCTGTCAACTTCGCCGTCGTCCAGGATGGAGGACGGTCCGTTGGGAAGCCTCTGAAAGAAACGATTTACTGTATTTAATATAAAAAGGATAAATTATGATTATTAAGAATAAAACTTCCAGAGTTTATGGGTTTTCCGGGGATTTTGCTGTCGTTTTTTTTTCCTTTAAAGCAAAAATTTCCGCTCCAGGAAGCAAAATTTAAGAACTTAAATTTGAACTCCGCAACATTTAATTGTAGTGGAGCAAAAAGTTGTATCTGCAGAAATGTAAGATAAAAATTATAATACAATATGTTTCATTTCTATATGTTAAAGTAACATTATTGTAACATCTGAAACCTAATCTTCCACTCAGAGGACTATCTTGTGACACAGTGGTTTAAAAACGTGTGAAATGCTCTATTTTTTTAAATTCTATTAAATCGCCCAGGTTTAAAAAAAATTATATATATTGTCGGTCTGCTCTGATTATTGAATGAGAGGTGCATGTAAATGTGCAGGTTTTACAATGTGTTCATCTTTCAAAGTGGGAGCAGGGATTTTACACAGTTTTTCTCTTTCGTTAAGCTTTTGTACATAAAAAAAGAAACAACAGTTAGTATTTTGAGTAAGTTTTCCTCGTTAACACTGTGAAATGCACAGTTTTTAAGCAATTAAGAAATCCTGTTGCAGATAGAGGGTGGGTTATATGAGAACTCATCCAATTGTGACCGTTTCACAATATTTGATAATCAGTACACTTCAACACAATACACACATCATATTGTGATATCTATGTAACCAAGGAACATAACATGTTAATAAAAACATCTCAAGCCACCATCAATTTAATGAATTAGCTCACTGATTTGACATGCAGAGATGGATGGGATTCAAACTCAGGACCTTCTTGCCTTGAGGCATCGGTGCTAACCACCAGTGCATAACTTCCTCCTTGAAGAATGACTGAAATGCTGCTTAACGGGAATAAACTGACACTGATGGCTGTAAGCTATATGACAGTTCTACTGATCTAAGAATAAACTGTATACAGTTACTGCAATAACTGCAGCAGCTTCTGGCAATCAGTGGCACCTGATCAACGCTCCAGCTGCAGAGTGAGGAAAGATTTATGCAGCTTTAAACAGCAGCCGTTTTTATTTCCTGTACCCCCACTTTAAGATCTACGTATGCAGTCTGAGGAAAAATAGCAAAAGATAGCAAAACATGATTAAACGCTTTATTGTTAATGTTAAAAAGTTACTTGTATAACAATGAGTGTTTCTCTGATATTAAACTACAAGTGTTGAAGTCAGAGCTTTGCTTTGCAGACCCACGTGCACACTATAGACCACTCCTGCTCGTGTTTGTGCTGCGCCTCGGAAAGTAAGGAGGCCACAACAGTCAAACAGCCTCGTTGCTGTGAACAGAATGTTAAAGACAATGAAAATTCTCAGCTGTCTTTGTTTCTGCTCTTTTGTGCTTCTTTCTCTTTGTGGTGAACTCCACTGTCACTCCCTTTCTTGTGTTAGTTAACATTCCTATAATCCTTCACACTGTGTACTCAAAGACCATGCGAACAGACACAATGCGGGTCTATGAGCCTAGCTACAGATGGTCAGCACGGGAAACCTTCTATACGCTAACAACACAGCGGTTTGTAATGTCAGCCATGTTTTTTCAGCTTTGCTCTGCTGCATGCAGAGAGTATATATGTGTTGCTGTGACAATATCACAGGTCAGTATGAACACAACTCTAAAACCAACTTGTTTTCTGTCCTCTACAATAAACTAACTGTGCTTTATGATCTGTATGTACAGTTATTGCCTATGAAATGCGCTCGATTACCTCTTTGCCGTTGTCTAGTCCTTGCTGGCGTCGTTTGATTTGCTCCCTTAAAGAGAGAACCTAAAAACAAGGCAAAGAGAATCATCAAAGAGGCCCCATCTGTAATTATCTTCTATTTCTAATTTGAAAAGAAAACTAAGTGGGAGGGAAACAGGGACTCACCTCTTGGGAGGAAGACTGTAGCTCCTCCTCCAGGACCGACACGCGCTCCAGAGCTACCCGTAGCCTTTCGCGCACTTTCTCATCCAGAGCTTTGTGATGCTCGAACAAGGACTTGAGGGCCTTTAGGACCTCCACCTCACTAGAGACCCCGGCCGGAGACTGGGCCTGCCTCTTCACCACGGTCATCCTCAGGCTGCGCTCATGGCGGGACACCAGGCACTCCAGATGTTCGAGCAGCAGCTGGAAACACATGTGGTTCACATGCAGTAAAAGCTCACCACAGTGCGCCTCTGATATGTCTCAGAGGATTACGTTTTCTCGTGTGAAGTCTTTCAGAAAAGGCGAGGTTGCATGCCAGGATCAGAGGAGAGCATAACGTAAAACAGACATGGAAGTGTACTGACTCGTGTGTTGTTCCTCTCTGCCTTCAGCTCCGCGATCTCCTCCTCTCTCTCCAGCAGCTGTTCCCGGCAGAGGTTCAGCTCTTTGGTCAGCACTGCAAACTCCTGCAAGGTCACAAGAGGGTGCTATTATTGACTGAACAGTGCTGCTGCTGCATGAGGTCATGAGTGCAGGTTAGACATACTGATCACACACACACACACACACTGCTTTACCTCTCATTCATCCAAGAATGATTACAGAAAGGTCAAGCAGGTGGGACGTACGGGTGGAAGTTCAAATTCAGTCAGGAAATGTGTGACAGCTGATTTACATTGAAGCTGCAAGGTTTTCTTTTCTTTTAAAGATGCTTTGCAAATAAGACATGAATCTGCTTCTGCTTCTCCATCAGACACCAAAAAATGTAGTGAGGAGAAAATGTAACTCCACGTTAATGAGGCTGGATAAGTCTTCTAGCTTTAGCCAATTATATATA